AAGAACATTCAGCAGTTAGGCATCTAAACAACCTCTCCCCCTCCCCAGCTTCCTGATAATAGAACTTGGGCTCACAGGAGTAGTTGATAGCAAATAAGAAAACAACCCCTCATTCTTTGACCTTTTCATCCTGCTGACATCCCACTTATCTTCACCTGCTATCCTGTTCACCTTGAGTGACCCATGACTAAGAACTTTCGGTGGTCTGGTTACTAGGCAATGACCCCTCTCTTTAATTACCCCACCTTACCTAGCCTCCCACCCCAACCACTATATAACGTGCCCAAGAAAAGTAAAACTTCGCAGCTTGATCAGAAAGCCTGTCTTGCTGTCCGTTTCTTGTGTCTCCTGTCCAGGGTTCTCTGTTGTGCCCTGCTGCCCCCCCCCCCGTTACCCAGTTTCTACTTTCATATCACATATGTTCTCTTGCTCTCCACACCTCTCTTCATCAGCAATTCTTTTCCCCAGACTTAGATATTTAACAGTCCCAAAGCTAGGATCTACATACAGGGACACCATGCAATATTTGTCTTTCTTAGCCTGGGTTACCCCAGTTAATACATTTTTTTCCAGTTCCATTCATTTTCCTTCAGAGGTTCATAATTTCAATTTTGTTAGTAGATGAACAAAATTCCACTGTGTACATGTACTACATTTTCATTATCCGTTCTGTTTTCTTTAATAGAAATCTAGGCTGATCCTATCCATAATCCTTGCTGTTGTGACTACAGCAACAGTGAACTTAGATATGGTAGGGTGTAGAGTCCTAGGAACTATGCAGCTGGGTCATGCAGTGGTTATAGTTTTGTTTGAGAGCCTTCTAATGTTGAAATAAATAATGGCTCAATTTCAACAAAAATATTTTAGTAAAAATATTCATAGCCAGGCATTGGTGACACATCCCCTTAATCCTAGCACTTGGGAGGTGGGGGCTGGCGGATCTCTGTGAGTCTGAGGCCCACCTGATTTACAGAGCAAGTTCCAGGACAGCCAGAGCTACACAGGAAATCCTGTCCCAAAAAAATTTTTTTTGTTAGATCCAACCTATGGGACACTCTGTGTGTGTGTGTGTGTGTGTGTGTTTGTTTGTTTTATTGTAAGGAGACAATATTAAGAGACAGAATGAAGCAAATCACTTTTTATCATGAAAACAGAAAAAGAGGAAACTGTTTCAAAATTTAACATTAGGATCATAGGTCCAAAATAACAAATATTGAGTGCAAGCCATTTCTGAAGTCTGACTAGGTGCCAGGCTTCTTCAGTCTATAACCACCTAGAGTTTACTTCCGTGAGCTCCTGTTCCCCACACCGTACACTCTTATGCTACACCGCTGAGAACCTAATAAGTAATTGTTGAGCTGATAATTAAGTGAATGATGGCAGGGTGAAACTTAACATGCTGTCTGATGCAAATGACAGAATCGGAGTTCGACAAATCCAGGCAGGGATGGAAGGAGTGGAGAAAAGTTTCTGAAAGGCTGGTTTGTATGAATGATGTTAGCACCTTTATTAACTGGCACAAATCTGATAAATTTTGACATGTGTGCACCCATAAACTACCATCATAATCCTATAATGTGGACATGACCATCAGAGCAAATGCTCCCTTGTAATTGATCCATCCACAGACAGACACACACACACACACAGACACACACACACAGGCACACACACAGGCACACACACACACAGGCACACACACACAGACACACACACACACAGACACACACACAGACACACACACAGACACACACACACAGACACACACAGACACACACACACAGACACACACACAGACACATACACAGGTACACACACGCACAGACACACACACAGGCACACACACACACAGGCACACACACAGATACACACACAGACACACACACACAGACACACACACACAGACACACACACAGACACACACACACAGACACACACACACAGACACACACACACACAGACACACACACACAGCAGCACATGGGCTCCCCTGCTTTCCCTGTCTGCCCTCTGCTTGCCTCTTTTTACCACCAACACCTGTAGCAGTCCACTGCAAAGACACCACTGACCCGCTTCAGGTCACTAGCCATTGGTTTAGACTTCCTTAAAACTTTACAGGAGTAGACTCACTCAGCACGTGCTCTGCCCCCCCCCGGCCTTGGCATAGCTATTTTGAGAGTTACTCACACAGCACAGTCAGTCCTTTTTCACTGTTAAGTAGTATTTCTCTGTACAGCTATACCAGTGTTTGCTCTGCCATTTACTAATTGAGCTGGGCTCACTGGTTTTCCTGTTGTTGTCAACTTGACACAAGCTGGGGTCACCTGGGAAGAGGGAACATCAGGTGGGAAGATCTCTCCATCAGACTGACCTATGGTCAAGTCTGTAAGCATTTTCTTAATTAATGATTGATGTGGGAGAGCCCAAATGACTGTGGGTGGTGCTACTCCTGGGAAGTGTCCCTGGGTTGTATGAGGAAGCAGGCCGAGCAAGTGATGGAGAAAAAACCAGTAAGCAGCACCCCTCTATGGTCTCTGCCTCAGTCTGTCTCCAGATTCCTGCTTGAGTGCCTGGCCAGATGGACTGTGATGTTGAAGTATGAGCCGAATAAACCCTCTCCTCCTCAAGTCGCTTTTGGTCATGGTGTTTACTATAGCACTAGAGAAGCAAACATTAATGCAGGATCTCATTGGCCGAGGGTAGTCTGGAACTGCTGGTCCTCCATCCTCCACCTCCCAAGTCCTGGCTTTACAGGCGTGCACCACCACACCCAACTTATCTTATTTGAGTACATAGTGTTTCTTCTCCCCTGACTGTTAAGACTTTTTCTTTTTCACGGTTTTGGGTTATTTTCTTTGTGTTCCCGGTTTTACTGTTTATTGGACTTCCTGAATCTCTGGGTTTGGACTTTCCTCAATTTGGAGAAAGTCTGGCCATGAATTGTTCACACCAGCTTTCCACCTGATAGCCTTTATCACCGTGGATCATCTGCATATGGGACAAGTTGCTCTTGGTTCACAGCTCAGTCACTGAGTTTCCTCTCCAATAGTTTCTGTTGCTGTGTCTGCAAGTCTGCTCTTCTTGTCCTTCTTCAGTGTCTAACCTGTCATCCAGGTAGACTCCTACCTAGAATATGTTTTTCTCTCACACATTACATGTCTCCAACTTCTGAGTGTTTTGAAAAAGTAACCTCCCCCCCCCGTGGAATTATATTCCAGGAAATGCAACTACAATAACTATTTTGGTGTCTTTTTCTGTTAATTCAACATCCACATTAATTTGGGGTGGGTTTTAGTTGAATGTTTTCATCATGAGCTTTTATTTCCCGAATTTTATTCGTCAAGTAGATCTAAGCAGTGTTCTATCTGTGGTTAATTATTCCCCACTTCTGAGGAAAAAGCTCCTTTCTGAGTACTTTGCCCAATACCTCATTTTCTTGTTTAATTTCTGAGGACAGACAATGTTAACCTGAATGGGTTTCAGGAATTTTTACTTTTTTAAGTTACAGAAGGATATTTCTTACATGCTGACTAAAATTGTTGTAATTTAAAAAGCAGTGCTGGAGAGAAAGGGACTGGAAAAGGCAGGGGAGGATAGGCTGGCCTCTGGGAACAGAAGAGAAAAGAGAGGAGGGGGAAAGAAAAAGAGAAGGATAGGAGGTGGGCAGGGCCCTTTTAAAAGGGAACATAGTGCATGTGTACAGGAGGTGTCCTTAGTGGCTGCAGCTGAGGGTGTATCCTGTCAGAACCCCAAGGGCAGGCCAGTACAGATGCCTGAATGCTGACAAACATCTCTTCCCGTGTCTGAAGAGACTCCTCTGTTAATCTCAGGCCCTCTCCCTGTGCATCGTTCTCCTTCTTGGTAAACAGTCCTAGAAAGTCCAGCCACATGAGGTCTCCTGAACTCTCAGTTCTCTTCCAACGCAGAGTCTACTAGTCACTTCTTGGTTCTCTTCCCTTTCCCTGCCTGTATCCTGGAAACACTCCAAGTAATAAACTGGGGCAATTGGGGTCTTGGTTGGTTTTCTTTACTTTTTTGAGACAGGATTTCTCTGTGTAGCCTTGGCTGTCCTAGAACTCACTTTGTAGACCAGGCTGGCCTTGAACTCACAGAGATCTGCCTGCTTCTGCCTCCAGAACGCTAGATTACTTTTTTCCCTCTCTCAAAAATCAGTGTCTTCAGAAATTGTGGGAGAGGCCAGCCAATGACTGGTCCAGCCTGAGACCCATACCAAGAGAGTGAGCACATCTCTGACACTGCCTAGAATGCCAAGACCCAGAGACCTAGGATAGAACCAAACAAGACTAGAGGAAAAAATGTCAATGTAATGATGCCTAACGATGTTCTGCTATACTCATAGATTAGGGCCTAGTTCAGTTGTCATCAGAGAGGCTTCATCCAGCAACTGGTGGAAACAGATGTAGACCCACAGTCAAACATTAGGCCAATATTGGACTAGATATGGAAGAGGAGTGGATGGGCCAGCGGGGTTGGGGGTGGGGCTAGAGGGGCGGTAGGTACAGAGACTGGGAGGAGGGAAAATCGGTGTCATTGCCAGGGTCCTGTCTTTTAAACCTTTACTGTTTTGTAACTTGTTTTTGCTTTTTTTGCGGTTGCTGTAATTTTAGGCACTGAGATAAATTACTCCATTTTATCCAGATCTAACAGCAGTCACTTACTTTATGCCCAAGGTCAGTTGGAGCTCGGTGGGCTCCATATGCACTCATTTCAGCTCCATTGTGAGTTGCTTGGACTCACGGTTTCTCTTGAGTCATCTGTGTTTCGTTTAGCTGTAAATAAGCCTGGGATTTGAAAAGGAAGCCAGGACCAGCCACCACGCCCCTTTGAGATAAAATGCTTTTCATTTTAAAGAAGCCATAGGTATCGTGTCGGCATTTTCCTAAATGTTAATCTAGAGTCATAGAGAGAGACAATGTGAATTTTCAGAAGTGGCTCTGAAAATGGCCATATAACACCTTTCTTTTTCTTTTGACAATGAGGAGACAATGTGTATGAAAATATGCAAGAATCCCAAGAAGTCCTCATGCCCAGCCACCTTGACGAAGTCATTGCTGCGGTCAGTGTCACTTCTAAAAAGAGGATCCCAAACAAGCTGCTTCAGACAGCCCTGTTTCAGCCCCCTCGAGAGAAACTCCACCTGTGCCAAGAGAGAGCAAAATCCTGCTTGAGCAGCTGTGAGGTAAGGAGCCTCCCGGTCACACACCTGCTCTCTGAGAGCTGCGCCCTCGTCACAAGCGTGAGAAGCAGGGAGCCAGGTATCGGAGTGAAAGCCTTAATTGATGAGAGAAGTGACGGAAAAGCCACCAGTGACCTCCTCTCTCTCCTTCCTCCATCCAAGCCCCTCCCTACTGTTTCCTGTGTCTCTCTGCATGTCCCCAGGGCCTCCAAAACCTCTATGGCTAATTCTGGTCAGCTAATAGCTAGCTACGCCCTCTGATTCAAAGTAAACTTTATTGGCAGTCTTGGGAGTGTCAGAGTGTGATCAGAATGTCCCACAGCACTAGCCATCTTTGTCTGTCCTGCTGTTGCTATTTTGAGTCTTCGTTTCTGTGGCAAAAGCATCTCAAAGAAAAGGCGTTTGTCTGTGCCACAGTTGGGGGTGCACACCACTGTGGAGTGGGAGCACTGAGCAGTTGACCATGTCACATCCAGTCAGGAAGAAAAGAGAAACGAGAGATGGATGCCTTCCCTTTCTTATTCAATGTAGATTCCCAGCCCATGGGGTGGTGATGCCCACATCCAGAGTTAAAACTCTCTGAAAACACCCTCCATAAGAGCCAGAGCTGTGTCTCCCGGGTGATTCCAGATCCTGTCAAACTGACAGTATTAGTCATCACAGATGCCAAGGAGAGAGTAAGTGTGTTGTTTGACAGCCACTGCCACTTTGGCCTGCACCTGCAGGAGCTGCTTACTGAGTGTTCGCTGGAACACCTAGGAGGTGATCAAATGTCTGCTCTACCTGCCTAGCTTTTCTTCGTCACACCATATTTTCCACCAAAAAAAAAAAAAAATGAAACGAATTCTTAAATGAATTCATGTGTACTTTATCCAAACGGATGAACCCTTCACGACCCCAAACAGATAACTTTGGATTCTCTGACACACCCCAAGTGCTTAGCACATAGAAAACGCTCAGTAAATATGTATCAGGTGGATATACTTACAAGTAGGCCGTGTGACTCTCGTGTTCTAAGCTGTCTGCCTGGTAAACTCATTTGCCTCTTCTGACAGTACAAACAGGCCATCCAGGAGCTTGTGCGCTGTGTGGCATTGACAAGAATTTGCTATGGTGACTCACACTGGAAACTGGCAGAGGCCTATGTTAATCTGGCTCAAGGCTACCTCCAGCTGAAAGGTGAGCTTCCCTCCAGCCAGCAGGGATGAGCTCATCAGCTGATGGGCTTCTGTTCTCCCTGCCCCCAAACTGATTCACACCAGAGGGATCGGGCTTTCATGGTCCTCCTTTCCAAGTCCTAGGAAGCCATTTCCTTTTAGGATGAACCGGCAAGGTGTATAGCATATAGGTAACAACAGGAAGAAAGGGAGAGTGTGATGTGGGTTTTGTTTGTTTGGTTCTTGTTTTGTTTGGTTTTCTTTTTTTTTGTCTTCTTAAAGTTAGAGTTCTTAGAAGATAACTTGTTGAATCTGATGATGGCAGGAAAGAAGTCAAGACATGAAATAGGGGGCTTTGAGTGGACCCAGTTATAGTTTTCTAGAGAGATGGGAGAGGCAGGGTGCTGAGACAGACAGAGAGAGAGAGAGAGAGAGAGAGAGAGAGAGAGAGAGAGAGAGAGAGAGACTGACTCTTGAGTATAAGTAGCCAAAAAATGAAAGACTAAGGCAAGCTGGCATTAGCTTGTACAGCTTAAAAAGCTAAGGTGAAACTTGCTTTAGACAGCCATAGCTGATGTTCCAAGCACATGGCCAGGATTCAACCCTCCCACCCCCGTTTTCACATCATTTGGCTCTGTCTGTCTTGGCATTAGCTCCATCGTAGCCATGCTTTGCCCGTATGATGCCAGCTACTTTAGATTTCCATGCTAAGCATGATCAAAAGAAAAGGAGACTTTCCCACCCACCAAAACATCCCAGGGTTTTGGAGATGCCCCGTTTAGACCACACTGGAGTATTACTGAAATGAAGGCATAGTCTGATAGGTCAGATGTGGTTTGGGGTTCTCCTAGTATGGGGAAAGAAGCTGGTTTTGGCCAGCTTAGGATGTGCAGGAGCCGAGCATCCTAAGAGGAAGACAGAAGGTGGGGATAGATTCAGGAAGGTAAAAAAGCTGACGCTCACCATGTTTTCTACTTGCTGCCTATGATGATTCACACAAGGTATACGGCAGCACCCCGCTGCCTCAGCTCATCCGCTGAAGAGCAGTGACAGGATGCTGGCGACACAGACTCCCCAGGTCCAGTGAGTGGCCCTACAACTGGAAAGTACCACAAGGTCAGACCACTCTCACCTGGTAGTCAAAGGCCATCAGAGCCAGAGGAGGCACTGGAGATCATCTCATTAACACCTCCTCAGGGTTGTCCAGAGTCAGAGAAAATCAATCTGAGTCGGAACAGCTTGCTGCAAAATCACATTGTTAATAAGCAGCTGATCTGAGACTCAGACCTGGGAATCACATGCCAGTACCAGTGTCCTGCCATCTGGGATTTCAAATCCTGCCTTCTTTCTGCAGCCCACTCCCTTCTGCATGGATCTTTCTCAATTTAAAGTCAAAACGGTATTCACTATTCTGCAAGGTCTCACTGAGGGCCAGCCATGCAAAACCTATTTGGACTTCACATCTGTGTGTGTGTGTGTGTGTGTGTGTGTGTGTGTGTGTGTGTGTGTGTGTGTGTGTGTTAGGATACTCTTGTTACCCCTCTTCACCATCAAGGTAACCGAGGCCAGTTTCTTAGTGAGTGATAGAGTAGAGGATTCATTCTGGGCCATCTCAAGAGCCCATACTCTTGAAAATGAACCTGTGCTGTCTCCAGTAGATCAAGTTCTTTTTTTTGTTTGTTTTTTGTTTTTTGAGACAGGGTTTCTCTGTGTAGCCCTGGCTGTCCTGGAACTCACTCTGTAGACCAGGCTGACCTCCAACTCACAGAGATCTGCCAGCCTCTGACTCCTGAGTGCTGGGATTAAAGGTATATGCCACCACCACCTAGTTAAATTCAAGTTCTAAGGGAAGGGGTTCTACCTGTAATCCTAGCCCATCACTATAGGTATGTCATGCAGACAAATAACAGTGATAAGTTCCTGACAGCCAAGTTAAAGCTATGCCTTTAAAATATGACACATAGATTTCTGCAAGAGTTCCCACACAAAGAACATAGGCTTGCTTCTCTCCATTAGAACGTATATTGTCTCTGTTTCATAGACACAGGAATGGAATCTACTTCATATTTTGACAGCTTTTGCAAAGAGCTGAGATACGATTAAGTGTAATTCAGAACATAGGATGGGCGGTGTATGAATATGAGTGGAAGGAGGTGTCGGTGAGGGTGGAAGGTGGGGGCGCGTGGGGAGGGTACAAAGCACAGACTCACCCCTCCCACAGGTTAATTAGCCCCTAGAAGAACTCTGGGACACAGGGAGAAACAGTGATAATATTTATTACTCTGTCTCATGTTCATCTGTGGCTGTAAAGGGACAAGTGATCACTGCACAGTAGTCCCTTACCTTCTTGGGGTTGCATTTGTAAGTAGTTATAGCCATATATTTGTGTCGTACTAAAAGGACTCTTTAATATTATGGCTACAAATGAGTGAGCAGAAGACTCAGAATTTTTAGTATTTCCTTTAGAGTGCTGTCACTCAGCCAGGATCACAATTCCTGAATAACTTGCTTCCTACCCAGAATACTGCAGTACTTGCATTCCATTTGTGTTTTGATAATTATTTATATTGTACATCTGATACTAGTGATGTTTTGAAGCTATTCAGTTCCAGCACGCTGTGCTTATTTTATTTCTAAAAAGGCCATTTTGGGAAATGTTTTTCATCTTGAATACTTGATATAAAAACAACTTTTTTTGGTCATTATAGTCAAAGGACTAGTTCCTGCCTCCCAGATTGATGTCTGTGTGCTACTGGACAGCATGTGATGGATGACCTTGCCAGGTTTCCTGGCTGTGGAGAATCATGATCGTGACCAGCTGAGATCAAAGAGAAACTAACACTTCTGCTTCTCTGTCCACAGGGCTGTCGCTACAAGCAAAGCAACATGCAGAAAAAGCGAAAGAAATCCTGGCTAACTCCATTGAGAGCCCCTATCATGACAATACAGATATCTTCAAGTGTTCCATAGAGCTCTTCCATACCATGGGGAGAGCCCTGCTGTCCCTTCAAAAGTATCCTTTTGCTTCTAATCTTCACAAACAGAAAACATTGTTGCTGTGATTCTTATAGTTAACTCTCAAAGCCAAACAAAAAGTTGCTAGGTGATTTAGGGATAATAGGAAGTATTATATGAGCAAAGAAAGTCCAGGATATGGCGTTCCAGAATCTAGGAACCAGTGAGACTTTTCCTGAACATATTTCAGATTTAAAGAAGCCTCAGAGAACTTGGTAAAAGCAGAAAGACTTTCCAAGGAGATGCTGCAATGTGGGAACATTATAAAGGAGGAGTGGGTAGAAATCCAAGCTCGGATCAAGCTGTCCTTCGCACAGTAAGTTTCCACTTTAGAACTTGTATGCATGATGACTGAAGGCTCTTAGGCTCTGGCCAGGACTTCTTCCAAGGTCCTTGTCCTGTGAAGAGCAACACTGTTATGTCAGAGCAGCAACACTTGTTACTTGATGGAGAATACACTCACACCACACACACCTCCCCAGTGCTCACAAAGATCCTCGCATCATGGCCCGAACTTACCTCATGCCTGCTCTGCCCGTCCCCGGTGCCCCTTCATCCCTCTCCTTTCCCTTTCTTTCCCTCCCACAGTGTTGTTATCGTTCACCCCAGGAAGCCTGGGATGGATCCCAGGTCACCCTGCAAGTTCACTAGGCACTGCCCCATTGCTGTGCCCAGCCACATGACCTCTTGCAGGACTGATGGGGTCCTGTCTTGCTACAGCCCCAACTATACTTAGCACTGTGACTCTTCCTAACTTGCTGTCCTGAAGTGCGGATCATGCTACCCAATTAATCTTACATCCTCTTTACTTTCCTTATTGAATCAAAAAGTCTGAATACCTCTCTATACCTGTGAGCCATTTGGATTCTCCTTCTGCAAATAGTCCAGTAAGGCCAATTTTATCTTTCTTTTGGAATTCTCTGTACTTTTCACACTAATAATCGAGATTTTTCTCATATTTTACCCATGTGAATTATGTTGAATATATTTTCTTATATCTATTGCCCTTTATTTTGTCTGTGGTGTTCTTCATAATATAGAAATCCTTCATTCTACCACAGTCATATTCATTCCTTTTTTCCCCCTTTTTAATTTATGCCTTTGGGTTTTGTTTAGAAAGGATTTCCCATCCAAATATCAAAGTCTCCATAATTTCCCTCTACTTCATATGTTTTTTAAATGTTCTTTATTTTTTAACATTCCAATCCCATGTCTCCCTCCCCTCCTCCCATCCCCTACCTTCCCCCCACATTATCCCTATCTGCTCCTCAGAGGGGGTAAGGCTGCCATGGGGAGTCAAGAAGTCTGCTTCATCACCATATTGAGGCAGGCCCAAGGCTCTCCCCCGTGTCTAGGCTGAGCAAGGTATCTCTTCACAGGAAAGGAACTTCAAAAAGCCAGTTCATGTATTAGGGATAGATCCTGGTCCCACTGCCAGTGTCCCCACAAACTGCCCAAGCCACACAACTGGCATCTGCATTCAGAGGGTCTAATTCAGTCCTATGTAGGTTCCCAGCTGTCAGTCCAGAATCAGTGGGCTCCTGATAGCTCAAGTCATCTGTTTCTGTGGGTTTCCCCATCATGGTCTTGACCCCTTTACTCATATTATCTCCCCTCCCTCTTTTCTACTTGACTCCAAGAGTTCGGCCCAGTGCTTAACTGTGGATCTCTGTATCTGCTTCCATCAGTTGCTTGATGAAGGTTCATAATTTTCTTTCTCGGTCTGGATTACCTCACTCAGGATGTTTTTTTCTAGTTCTGTCCATTTGTCTGTAAATTTCAAGATGTCATTGTTTTTGTTTTTTTACTACTGAGTAATCCTCCATTGTGTAAATTTACCACATTTTCTTTATCCATTCTTCAGTTGAGGGGCACCTAGGTTGTTTCCAGGTTCTGGCTATTACAAATAATGCTGCTATGAACATAGATGAGCATGTGTCTTTGCAGTATGATTGAGCATCCTTTGGGTATATGCCCAAGAATGGTATTGCTGGGTCTTTGAGGTAGATTGATTCCCAATTTTCTGAGAAACCACCATACTGATTTCCAAAGTGGCTGTACAAGTTTGCACTCCCACCAGCAGTGGAGGAATGTTGCCCTTACTATACATCCTCTCCAGCATAAGCTGTCATCAGTGTTTTTTATTTTAGCCATTCTGACAGGTATAAGATGGTATCTCAGAGTTGTTTTGATTTGCATTTCTCTGATGACTAAATATGTTGAGCAGTTCCTTAAGTGTCTTTCGGCCATTTGAGATTTCTCTGTTGAGAATTCTTTGTTTATATCTGTACCTCATTTTTAATTGGATTATTTGGTCTTTTGCAGCCTAATTTCTTGAGTTCTTTGTATATTTCAGAGATTAGCCCTCTGTCAGATGTGGGGTTGGCAAAGCTCTTTTCCCACTCTGTAGGCTGCCATTTTGTGTTGTGGATCATGTCCTTTGCCTTACAGAAGCTTCTCAGTTTCAGGAGGTCCCATTTATTAATTGTTGCCCTCAGTGTCTGTGCTACTGGTGTTGTAAGTAGATTGTGGTCTCCTGTGCCCATGCATTCAAGGCTGCTTCCCGTTTCTCTTCTATGAGGTTCAGTGTGGTTAGTTTTTTGTTGTTGTTTTTGATCCATTTGAATTTGAGTTTTGTACATCGCAGTCTATTTGCATTCTTCTACATGTCAACATCCAGTTATGCTAGTTGAAGATGCTTTCTTTTTTCCATTGTATAATTTTACCTTTGTCAAAAATCAGGCCTTCATAGGTGTGTGGGTTAGTATCAGGGTCTATGATTCGATTCCGTTGGTCCACCTGTCTGTTTTTGTGCCAATACCAAGATGTTTCCATTATTGTAGCTTTATAGTAGAGCTTGAAGTCAGGGATGGCGATGCCTCCCGAAGTTTCTTTATTGTACAGGATTGTTTTGGCTATCCTGGATTTTTGTTTTTCCATATTGTTTGTTTTTAGGGTTTTTGTTTGTTTGCTTGTTCTTTGTTTTTTCCGAGACAGGGTTTCTCTGTGAAACAGTCCTGGCTATCCTGGAATTCACAGAGATTCGCCTGCTCTGCCTCCCAAGTGCTGGGATTAAAGGCCTACACCACCATGGCCTGACTACCTCCTATGTTTTAAGATAATAAAAAATATGTATGTATATGTGTGGGTCTGTACATGAGTGCAGTGCCTGAGGTCAGAAGGGGGTGTCAGATCCCTGGCACTGGGGTAAGGTGATTGTGATCCACCTGATGTGGGTGCTGGGAACCAAACTGGGGTCCCCTGCAGGAGCTGTACCCTCTGCTAAGCTGCCTAGCAGCCTCAACCTCATGTTTTGCCAATGGTGTTATCTCTCATTACATTCTTAGAATTTCATCTCTCAGTTAGAAACTTCACTTTGGATAATCTGAGATGATCCCAATGAGGGGTTTAGTCTGCAGATATATGTGATTTCCCAAGCTGTCCCAGTGAGTGCACATTTCTAGCCGTGGCATCATGGGTGGCGTTATGTCTGCCCAGAAGCACCTCTGTAGACCAGGCTGGCCTTGAACTCAGAGATTCCCCCTGCCTCTGCCTTCCGACCGATGGGATTAAAGATGTGAGCCACCATGCTCAGCACATCTTAATTTTTTTTTCAAATTGGTATGTTACTGTTTAGATGGATGCATTTAAACCCGCAGGTGTAATCAGCTATCTGTCTACATCCTATAGCTGACCACTGTATAGATATTCTGAGGTGGTTTTGCTGAAGGGGAGGTGAGCCTGCCCACAGCAGCCTTTCTCTTTCTCATTTTCTGTTCTTTTGATCACGGAATGTGTCTTTTTCGTCTCTGTTCTAGTTTTGTTTGTGCTGCTGTGATGAAGTTCCCCTGACAGAAGGCAACAAGGAGTGGGGGCGGAGCTTATTTGGCTTCAAAATTCATTACAGGTCATACTTTGTTAGTGTGGAAGTTACAGCAAGAACCCAAAACATCACTCCCACCGTCAAGATCAGCGACACGGAGGTGTACCAGGCGTCAGAGCACACTGTTCAGTTATCGGTTATCAGGGAAGCAGGAGATAAAATAGTAAGATAATGCCACAGCCCCCCTAAAAGGCCCAGCCCTTTTAAAAAGATGGATAGTGCCAAGTGTTGGCAAGGGGGTGCTACCCAGAAGTGCCCTCTCCCTCACAGCTGCTTGCATGTATCAGATAGGACTCTTAGGAAACTGTCTGGCATTACCTCCTAAATCTGGACATCTTCACACTCTTTGATCCAACAGTATCACCCAAAATATATACTCACCAGAAATCTCTGCATGCTTGCTCACCAAAACACACCCAAGTATGTTCCCAGACTCGTTATTCAGTAGCCGAGAACTGGGAACAGCCCAAATGTCCTCAAATGGAAGCTAAAGACCTGTTCGTATAAAGGCAGTTGTCAAGCTGCTTGTTACATAATGTCATGAGTGACTCTCACAAACACAGTATTGAGTGAAAGAAGCCAGGCCCCCAATGTTCGAACTGGTTCCATTCATAGAACTGAAGGGGAAAGACCATGTTGGTGACCAGAGGGCTAACGCACACAGAGTCTCTTCCTTCTGGGAATGAGACGCTTTTTTTATCCCGTTGTGCAGGAAGCATCCAAGTGTGAAGCCCCAGATCTGATATGGGTTGCATCTGTTGAGACCTGACTAATGCGTCAGTTCTTGGTGTTGAGCACTGTTGCTACAAAACACTCAAGTATCCTCTGCCAGAATCTGGCGCCACCTAAAGAGTGCCTGCCAAGTTGCGATACTGAACACGGACAGCAGGTGGCGAGCTTTGTCCACATCTGTGTCGGATAGCCTTCAAGAATTTAAAGACCCAGTTAAACTCTTCGGAGATACCTTTGGTTATAACAGAGTTGCTTCCAATGTTGCCATGTCCTTCCTTTCTGAGTTTTCACTCTGACATTTTACATACAACCTGTGTGTTTATGTTTAAAATACGCAATTTTCATTTAATCTCCTTGCCTTGTGTTATCTGGAAATAGGAATCTTTTGTCTAAACCCACTTGCTTTGGAAAGAAACAAGGCTCTGGTTTTAGACGCGACTGTAGTTACACGTGAACTGTGTGGCATTTTCTCTCATGAGTCTTGGGAATGAAAGGCCAGGGGAAGGTCTCAGGCAGCCTTTGAACGTCTGCCCCTCTTAAAAGGACATCTTTTCCTGTGTCCTCTCCTTCTGATTCTCCTTTTATGGTGCCTGCCAGGCTGGCCTGACACAGATAAGTGACTCATGCATGCTCCGGCTTCTACCCCTGTGGGAAGCCTGGGCTTCGTCCTCATGGCCCCTCGCTCCTCTGCCAGAGCACCG